TAGTGAAATTAAAGGAACTTTTTTTTTCAATCTTGACATCAAGAATGTACATTAACGCTTGATCTTTATATGTTGACGCAAATAGGTATGTTTATAATAATTTAAAAATATAGTATTTCGAAGGTTCGCCAATAATATTCAAGAAAAACATTAAAAATGGCGCAACGAAACGGCAAACAACAACTTTTTTATAAAAGTCATATTAAATACTATGTAGTCTTAAAAATATATATGAATAAAAAAAAAAAAAGAATGGAGTACTACAAGAATGAATAGAATTATGATATACAACTAACAAACTTTAAACTTTAGTTATTTAGAAACTTGTCTTTTTAATCAAATGTCGTGTTATGACTTGAAGCAAGTAAAGAAACTTAAACTAACATATGCTTTTAAAATCAAGTGGTTCTATTTAATTACCGATTTTTAATAAACCTTTTATTGAATTATTGCAATTACTAATGGTTAAAACTTTGCAGCATATCTCTAGAATAATTCATTTTGTGATGTTTTAATAAAAACCATTCCAGTGAAACTTATTTTTTTTTTTTAATTGTCGGTTACAAGCATACTCTCGAGACGACTTGAAATTGCTTTGATGTTTGCGGCTCGATGAAGTTCCATCTGTTTTTTACTTCCATGATCTTAACTATTAGGCCGAGAAACAATGCAAAAAGAGGGACATACGGGTGAAAATACACTGCGCAAAAATTTCAGCTTTTTGAAACATATTTATCGTCATTGTACCATGAAAGCAGTGCTTCTGTCAATTATCTAGGATGCAAGTCATATCCATTGTATCTAACACAGGTAGTAAGACAAGGATTGGTTCTGTCTCATCACCTGTATGATATATATACTCCAAGCCTATTTGAAACCATACAAAATAAAAGTATTGTAGGGACATCAATTTATGGAAATTACACAGGTATTGTAGCATACGCTGATGACATCATTCTTCTTAGTTCTACCCTGACTAGAATAATAAAGCTTATAGCAGCTTATAATATATACACTAACGCAAATTGTATAAAGTTGAATGCTAATAAAACTGAGTTCTGGTTCACTGGAAAAAAAAAATTGCAAACTGCACGATAACAGTCGACCACCAACAAATAAAACTGGATGATAAACTTAATTATTTAGGTTTTATATGGGATACTAAAAGCTCTTCTTTTGCCTCACTTAATCATTCAAATATGGATAATAGAATATCAAAATTCAGGGCAATATATCAAACTATTATTCAGTCTGGAATCCGCTTTGCACATCCAAGCTTTATTGTCGAGCTATTTAAAATATTTACGGTTCCGATACTTACGTATGGTCTTGAACTTTGCGATGATAAAGACCTACTAATGCAAAAGCTTGATATAATAGGGAGGAATGCACTAGAATCACTCTTCAATGTTTCCAAACGCAGTAAAAATTATATTCATTCTTTGTTTTACATCCAAGATGTATCAACAATTGCACAGCAAAACAAATTAAACTTACTTATTCGCATATTGAGCAATAAAACAACCTTTGGTGTTGTAAATTCTCAGTTGAAAAACCAAACCGCTAAGCACTCTTTTTTAAATAATGTCATAGGTTTTCTAGATGATGTTATAGGTTTATGCAATCGGAATGAACTCAATCTAGAGAGCTTAATGCAAAAAAAAAAAAAGTAAAAATTATTGTGTTAAAAAATATAGTTCCTAAAAAAGATCTTCAAAAATTAAGCTATAAAATTGAGTTCTGGAACTCATTGGAGCAAAAGAAGATATTCAAAAATATTCTTGAAGTAAATATTCCAAGATAAAAACTTATTTCTTGTCAAAAGGTGTAACTTTATAATAATTTATTTTGTATTATATACAGCGGATGATTAATAAATAATTAATACAAAAAAGAAATTATTTAGTCAACAATTGAAATTTAACTTTTCTTTAATTGTGCTTTTATATTTTTTAAAATTAAAAAAGTGGATAACCCTGATGTGGAACTTTCCTCCACGGAATGACCGCTTGATAGTACTGAACCATGAGGTGGAGGGGAAAGAGGGAAAATTTTCTGAGGGAGTTACAAATTGATTGTCAATAAGCGGCGTAAACTAGTGACGTCACTGCTTGATGGGGTGTTAGGAGAGCTGTACAAATTTTCGAGAGCAAAGTGGTGTCAAATTCGACGTCAACAGAAGTGTGTGAACTGGCGTCAAACCCGATGCCAAAAATATTTTAAGAAGGTGGTTGCTTGAAGTAGCATAAAACCTCCATTATACTACTACTCCTCTGGGTAAGTTTTATAACATCGGTAAGGAAGGATGCGCGAAAAAAAACCCACTGTCGAGCACGCGTGCGCATAAAGCGTTTCAAATTTTCTTTAGATATTGTAAATATGTGTTGTGTAATTAGCTACGCTGGAATATTTTCATATTTTATTTCATTTTTTTATAAGAAAATTTTGAAAGAAGTCTGTGCTGTCCAAAAATAGGATTATCAAAAGTTCATATAAGTTTTTTTTTAGACTTATATCTAATTTTGTTTGGTAATTAACGGGTTATTTTGGAAAAGTAACCGGTTGATGGGTTAATTGGCCAAAAGGCATAATTTTTGATCAACTTCTTCTTTTTTTTTGCATTATTATTTTTTTAAATAAAAAAGAATGCACTTAAAATTGATGGTTTATGCAAACTTAACTATCCACGGCTCAACGCTTATATATTACTGATATAAAAAATAAAGAATTTAAACATTTTTTGCTTACAAAAAATGTTTATTTTGTGAGTTTATTTCTTTAAAGTATAACTTTCAAAGTAATATTAAACAATAATTAAAATTTATATGTATTAAAAAGTATTCTAGATAACTAAAAGCAGTTTAAAAAAAATAAAAATATAATTGTGTTTAAAACCACCAAAAAATTTTTTAGGGGGGAAGGGCATAATTTTAGGCTTACAGTGTTTATTTTAGTATGAAGCTTGGAGATTAAAACAAGAAATAGGCACCACACATCATATGTCATGCTACTCGAATTTGATTTAGTGGCTAATAGGCAAAAGAAGTTTTTCATATGCAATTCCTATGGTTTGGAGAGAATCAAAAGACATTTTAATATTTTTGCATGACAAAGACAGCAGGATTTTCGGTTAAGAACAAGGAGACAATTAAATATCCTAATGCAACTTCTGCAATTAGGCGCACATATATAAATTGCTAACAATTAAACATAAACTAGGATCTGAAAGAAGATCACAAGATTTTGTCGTCAGATCCTTATAAAATACAAGCAAGCAAAATAAAGACAAACATAACATAAACATAAGGTAAAATTAAAAAATAAAAAAGTAATAAAACCGAAGTCAAATAACAATTTTCAAAATATTAGAAGTATCTAAGTAAATTATCAAGTGAAAAAAAATACATTTTTAAAGATAGAGCTTGAAAAGATAAAAGGAAGCTGGTTGATCATGATTTTGCATAACAATATTATTCCATAGGTGAGGTCAACGTCAGAGTTAGGGTTAAGGTTAGTGTTAGGGTTACCATTCGTGCCAATACATACGACTCTTTTATATCTGTTATGATATGAAAGAGTCGTATGAAAGTCATCCACCTTATAATTTTTTTTTCCCATTATCAACTATAGGAAATTTGGATGATATATTTGTGCTGACTTTAGAGTTATTAAGCTAGTGATGGACATCTAAAGTAGTTACACAAAGTACTACTGCTTCATGTACTAGCGGTCCACTAGCACAACCAGACTGAATTTACCTTCCACCTTATTAGTTTTTATAGAACCTCAAATAAGACATGTTACAATGAATGACTCTATGTTTACATCAACTTACTAATTTTTAAGCTTAAAACTCATTCAACGCAGTCATTGATGGGTTTTTGGTTAAGAAACTTACAACGGACCATGAGACAATTCGAAAACATGTATATTTTTAGATGCATTGCATTATCACTTTTTTCCTGAAAATTTAGGAGACGTAAGCAACAAGCGTGTAAAACATTTTCATCAAAACATTTCAGCGATGAATAGCAATAATGAGGAGAATAAAGTTGAGCTATGATGGGTGGTTTCTGCAGAGGGATAGTACTTCTGCAACAAAAATAAATCATGAACTAGCCACCATTTTCCCGCTTTTGCAAAAAAAATATTAAGACAGTAACTAGTTAATTCGGCAAAAAAAATATTAACTTTTTGAGTAAAGCTTTTTTATTGTAAATTTTAAGAACAAATTTTCAGAATGGATTGACTTCACTTCTGGACGTACTAGAGACATTCAGAAAATATCTCTGTAATCAGAACATTGCATATAATAAAAAACATTCACTCTGTTGTTCAAGCTGCAGAATTTTTTTGTTTTGTTACACAGTGTAATACGCAGTATACTAAGAGATTTCTTAAGCTGCAAGCTTTACTTTAAATTGTTTACAAAGTTTTCTTTTGCTTACTAAAAATGTTAAAAAGGCGCCACAATTTTTAAATAAGAACCAAAATACATTGTTATTTTTGAAAAGAGGGTTAAATTAGTTTTAACCTTTACCTAGATTGTTAGCTCATTAAAGTGACAATTTTTCGAATAAAATTGACAATTTGCCTGCCCCAGTGATCAACGTACTTTGGTTTACCCAACTATATTAAAAGTGTAATAACTGACTAATTAAATAAATAACTGTTATGTGACGGTTACTTCTATGTAGAAGTAGTTTTAAGTACAAATGTTTCAAATAAATATCTTTTTATATCAGTAATTTTTTTTAAATTAGTATTTTTATATTAGTAAAATAAATATTAATAAAATAAAATAAAAGTTTTATCATATTTTATTTACAAGTAAAAAATCTTTTATTTGCGAATGAGTGAACTCACCCCCCTCAACATTTGACCCTATTTTTGTGTATTTGTATACTATACGATTAATATTTAAATACGAGTTCTTTTTATTACAATTTAAAGAATAAATTTGCTTATAAAATTAATTACAAGTTTCTTAGTTTACTCACTATTTTGGTCAGCTCTGTTTCACCTAAACATATTTTAAAAAATAACTAAATAAATTAATAAATGTTAGAAACTAAAAAAGTTAGTAAAAGTTAAAAGAAAAGAAAAAAACAAAGAAAAATAATTAAAACTATATTTGAATCAAAATAAAATAAAATTTTAAATTAAAATAGTTTTAAAAAACAAAGCGATGTTTTAATTAACAACTGTCGTTCGGTCCTTTACATACAATTGATGAAGATACAGGTTGGTAATTGTCTTGGTAAATATTTTTGAGCTGTGGTGTTCAATTAACTTTTACATATTTTATAATAACAAGCGCTACCTAGCAACTGAAAAATATTGCTAAACGGTATCGAGATTCTGTCAGCATTACTGGAAGTATGTAGAATAACTGGAAATACAGCCAGCATTGTTGCGTCAGGAAAATAACTTTACTGATGGAGAAACAAGTTGTTAAAGAAAAAATTAGATAAGTGTTATTTACTAATTTAAATTTTGCAAAACCTTTTTCTTTCATGCAAACATGCGCTGTAAGCTGATAGCTCGTCAGATAATAACCTTTTAAAAAATGTCGGTAAAAATTTAAACAAAACATTGTTTTTTTATTTTGAAATGTAGAGAAACATTATTTTCCTTTTTAAAAAAAGATAAAAATACAAAATTAAAATGCCAATCTTAGCAAAAACATACAAAAAATGCAGAAAAACTGTTTGTATCATTTGCATGACAAAAGCAAAAAGAGAACTTAGAGAGAGCCTCATGACAAGCATTAAACAAGTTTGACAAAAGGATGTTAACTTTAAAGATGACAGAGTTTCTTTGGTATTGCGAGTTGTTTTGTGACAACTGTAGAATTAAACTTGGAAGACAAACAAAGACTGTCTCAGAGCTTTTCAATTTTGAATCAATTTTAAAACCATTAAAATTGATTTAATATTAAAACTACCTAAAAGACTGACTACAACATGTGAAAAAAAATGTGATGAATGAAAAAAATCCTTTGAGCAACTCCTAGAGTATGGCAGCTTAACCTGATGAGATAGTTTTAAAGCATTGTGTCAAATGCTTGTCAGTTATTGTTAATGGAATTTGACATAAAATTTTGAGAATAATAACTAAATCTGATTTTATTTGAGTTAAGCAAGCGGTATCAACAATTTTGTTTGGCAAAGATTCTTCTCCGAACGGAATCATTTGACTTCTGCCAAAAGAAAAACCTTTACCATTAAGAAGAGGCAAAGTACAGTCTTGGAAAAAAATTTAAGACCACTTGCGAAAAAATGAAAATTTAATGAAAAAATTATTACAAGCCAAAAAAATGGTTCAAAAATAAAAAATAAATGCATTAAAATAATGTCCACAGCAGCTAAAATCAAAAGTAGCACCAAGTTATAGCACCAAGTTATAGCATTTTATTTTAAGCACGAAAGTATAGCATTTATACTTGGTGGTCTTAAACCTTTTTCTAAGACTGTAATCTTGTCTAATATAGGCTATTGTTTAAAAGTTGATCTTTTTTAACAGGATCTTCAGCTTAAAAACAAATGTTCAAGGAAACTCTGACAACCTAAAACATGTTACGAATTTAGGAAAACACAGGTCTTTTTAAGAACGGAATAAGAAAGTGAGAATCTACTATGAACCTTTTAATTTGCCAGAATTTCGGAGCCTAACTTTAAACCAAAATTGGCTTAAGTAGGTTTTTATCTCAATTATTATTTTACAAAGATTCTCAGTGAAAGCAATATAATAGTCAAAGCAATATAAACCACAAATTGTTCACTGTCGCGATCTCAACAAGCTTAGTGAAATATTCATGTCAGCAAGAAATATTACTAGCTTTGCTGTTGTGAAACTTGAAAATTTCTGAAAGTAAGCTTTACCCTCATTATGATTCAAGAGCCTTAAACCTCACTTCAGAAAACTGTCAGATTGATAGCACCTAAACTATTAAAAATTAATAGTGCCAAGCAACAAATTCTTGTAGCATTTTTCACTAAATGGTTCAGAACACCTAACAACAAATGTAGCTCCATTGGTGGATTAACTTCTAATATAAGTTTATAAATAACTTATAAAGTTTATAAAGTTTTTATAACGGTATGAAATGTTTATAAAGTTTTTATAACGGTATAAAAACTTTTACAGTGGTGAATGCACCACGTTTCGGAAGACTTTTTATTTTCTCAAATCACCACCATTTTGCTTGTTTCTTATGCCACCAAAAGTTTTCAGGCTCCCACAGTTGAGAAGATTTGTTAAATCAATGTCACACCAACAGCAAGGGGGCCTAATTCTATACCACACATGTTGACAAGCTTCATATTAGTTTTATATATCACATAAGGTAACCAGTGAATCTTTGGCATATTTGAACTTTGATGAGATCAAGAATGTACTTGATTCTCAAGACACTAAATTAAATCAGGAATGTAATTGACACCAATGTCAAGATATGAAGCTTGCCAACATGTGTGGTATAGAATCAGGCCCCCTTGCTGTTGGTGTGACATTGATTCAACAAATCTTCTCAACTGTGGAAGCTTGAAACTTTTGGTGGCATAAGAAACAAGCAAAATGGTGGTGATTTGAGAAAATAAAAAGTCTTCCAAAACGTGGTGCATTCACCACTGTAAAAGTTTCTATACCGAAAACTTATATTAGAAGTTAATCCACCAATGGAGCTACATTTGTTGTTAGGTGTTGTGAACCATTTAGTGAAAAATCTGGTTAATCTTTGGCCTTTTGTCAACAAAAGGTTTAGTTATCACCATTAAGTTTTAGAGGTTGGATCTCTAAAACTTAATGGTGATAATGTTTATATATAAAAACTGGAATGTGTTGAACATTTTTGGAAAAGATCGGTACACGATGAAAAATGTTATATCAATAGTGAAAATATTATATCAATAGAAATAAGTTGTTTGCCTACCCTGCTGTTAGCAATAAGTTGTTTGTCCACCCTGCTGTAAGCAATAAGTTGTTTTTTATATAAAAAGATGGGATGTAAAAGAAGACTTTTAATTGAAGCAATTCAATTAAATAGCAAGATTATTTCAAAATTATTTTGCAATTTTATATTGAATTATATTTAATTACAATAAGGCAAAATATTAAAAACATATATGTTATTATAAAAGTTATATGGATATATCGTTTCACAATTGTGAAGTTTTAGATGAATTTTCTTGTCATCTATTCTGTTCACATACATCATATAACTGGTGTGCCTGAAATTTTATACTGAAAAATAAAAAACTTTAGTTTCCCGTAATCACTTAAATAAATATAAGAAAATTTTAGAAAAGATTTATTCATATTTAAATTAAAAGAAGTTTTGCTTAACTCATTATTTTCCCTTGTATATTTATAAAGGTGACTGAATTTATAAGTAATACAAAGAGATTATCTTACAAAATTCTCCCAGATATTTTTCTGAGCAAACGCATAAAAAGTCGTTTTCAGCATAGTCAGGTATGCAGGTACCACTGTTTTTGCAAGGTGATCTTTCACACGGAACGCTCTAAAAAAAATATCTTTTAAAAATTATTGAATGCAAAACTTTCTGCAACCCAAATAAAGTATTTAAAAAAACAGAATAATATATATATATATATATATATATATATATATATATATATATATATATATATATATATATATATATATATATATATATATATATATATATATATATATATATATATATATATATATATATATATATATATATATATATATATATATATATATTATTTTAAAACATCAAAAATACGATTTCTCTCAACACTTATAGTTTTTTATTATTATAGAAATTTTCGCTGGATTTTAGATACCAGCTTCTTCAGTTTGTTAAATGTTACAGTAATTAGTAAACCGTTATAATTTAAATTAAAACGTTGCTATTGACGTCAGCGGTTGAATGGCTTCTTTTTCGCTAAAATTTAAAAAATGGCGTCCAAAACTTAGTTTTTACGTATTGACCCTCATCGAGATTAATCCCGCCATTTTTTGCAGAACACATGTTTTTTTGTATTTCTAGGGCTTCCCTAACTTTTCTTTCAAATTTTTTATTTTCTACTTTCAATGTTTTTGTTTGTTCCCAAATAATTTCTTTTTTGCAAAATGTTTTATGCACAGCTAATGCAGATTGATGCTGCTTATTTTCATCAATGCTTTTTTGGTGTTGATGCATTCTTGTGTTTACTTTCATTTTTGTTTCGCCTACATGCACTTTTGAACAGTTGCATTTGATTATATATATTCCTGGTTGACTGTTATTAGGTAATTTTGATTTATTCTTTGATGTTAACAGGGATCTTAAGTTTGGGTTTGATTTGAATACCGCTCTGTAACCAGCTTTTCGGAATATTTTCCTAAGTTTTGGCGAGATACCGGGTACCCATGGTAAGGAAACTACAGGATAATTATTGATTTCAGATGGAATTGTAATTTTATTTTGTCTTTTGTGTTGAAACTGATGCGCAATATTCATCATTTGAGTTTTATCGTAACCATTTTCAATAAACACGTCAATTAGAAAATTTATTTCATTTTGCAAGTAAGACTTACTACAGATTGAGTAAGCTCGGTGGAGAAATCCTTTAAAAATAGAGTTCAAGATATTTGGATCATGATTTGAATGTGGCTTAATTTGAATGTTAGTGATAGCATCTTTCCGATACACTTTGTATTCATACTTTCCTGTTTTTTTATTCATAATTTGTATATCCAGATAATTTAGTGTTCCTAACTCGTTTTCAACTTCAATTGTATACTGGATGGATTATATTGAAAATGGTTACGATAAAACTCAAATGATGAATATTGCGCATCAGTTTCAACACAAAAGACAAAATAAAATTACAATTCCATCTGAAATCAATAATTATCCTGTAGTTTCCTTACCATGGGTACCCGGTCTCTCGCCAAAACTTAGGAAAATGTTCCGAAAAGCTGGTTACAGAGCGGTATTCAAATCAAACCCAAACTTAAGATCCCTGTTAACATCAAAGAATAAATCAAAATTACCTAATAACAGTCAACCAGGAACATATATAATCAAATGCAACTGTTCAAAAGTGCATGTAGGCGAAACAAAAATGAAAGTAAACACAAGAATGCATCAACACCAAAAAAGCATTGATGAAAATAAGCAGCATCAATCTGCATTAGCTGTGCATAAAACATTTTGCAAAAAAGAAACTATTTGGGAACAAACAAAAACATTGAAAGTAGAAAATAAAAAATTTGAAAGAAAAGTTAGGGAAGCCCTAGAAATACAAAAAAACATGTGTTCTGCAAAAAATGGCGGGATTAATCTCGATGAGGGTCAATACGTAAAAACTAAGTTTTAGACGCCATTTTTTAAATTTCAGCGAAAAAGAAGCCATTCAACCGCTGACGTCAATAGCAACGTTTTAATTTAAATTATAACGGTTTACTAATTACTGTAACATTTAACAAGCTGAAGAAGCTGGTATCTAAAATCCAGCGAAAATTTCTATAATAATAAAAAATTATAAGTGTTGAGAGAAATCGTATTTTTGATGTTTTAAAATAATATATATACATATATATATATATATATATATATATATATATATATATATATATATATATATATATATATATATATATATATATATATATATATATATATATATATATATATATATGTATATATACATATTAATATATATATTATTAAATTTTAAATTTAATAAAAACGTATTTTATTAAATCTACAATTTGCTTGTTATTTTTCTCCTTACTACCATCTACTCTATAAATACACCCACAAAAATTATTTCAGAACCTGTACAAACCGAGCACTACATTTACTTAATTTTAATAAGACTTTAGACAAGAAAAATAAAAATTTACAGCCTAAATTAAAATCTTTATTTACAGTTTACAGATCGCTGATTACAGCTAATTACGGAGCTCAAATTTGCAAAAGAACTGAACAATTCCAATCATTAAAAAAATCAGTTGCTATATCGAAAAACAATTACATTTTTTTTTATAAAAATGCGAAAATTATAAATTTATTCTAAAGTCGTTACGAATAAACTTTCCAATAAAAAAAAATAAAAGAGCATCAGGTATAATTTATCCTTTTAGATTTTAGATAAACTTTTATTTTGCATAAAAAACAATTTAAAGAAACGATTTTTTAATCTTACAAATGATCTAAAAAGAATTCAAAACTTTTTAAAATATAAACTTAATGAAGAAGACTGTATTAAATTAAAACAAATAACTGAAAAATCAAGGGAAAGCATGTTTATCAAATCAAAAGAACGATTATTAAAAAAGTTTAACATACTTCAAAGTGAACATGTAAATGGAAAAGATATTGCAAAAAAAAAATTGAAAAAATAAATATGAAACCAACGCAGTTTTAACCTTTGCAATATTTCCATAAATCATAATGTTTTTTTGAACCTTGATCCAAACTCTATTGCCCAAACTCTATACCGTCTTTAAAGTGAATGCCATAAATGGGTATTATAGCAACAGGAGATTCTTTCAAAACTAAATAAAAAACTACGTTTTTCTAAGGAGAAATTCGAAAAAATATATATATTCAAGTGATCCTACCCAACCTTGTTTGTATCGAGTAATCAAAGCTCATAAATCTGAAAAAACGTACCCAATGAAATCTCAAACACATTGGCACACCAAACTACGGAATATCAGAATTCTTAGTTAAGAAAATTAAAATGATAAAATGAAAATATTAAAATGAATTTAAGGATAAATTCTAAACTTAATCTAAAATAATTATAAATAACACAATAGGAAAATATGAATACAAAGTATATTGATAAGAGGCAATCACAAACATTCTGATTAAACCGCATTCAAATCACGATCCGACAATTTTCACCGCTATATTCAAAGGATTTCTCCAAAAAGCTTATACCATCATTAATAAACGTCATTAGAAAAACGAAATAAATTTTTTTAAATAATGTTAATTGAAAACGGGTAAAATGAAAAACAATTGAGGAATATTACACACCAATTTCATCAAAAAAATAAAATAAAAAATACTGTTCCATCAGAATGCAACAATTTTTTTGTATTGTCTTAACAGGGGCGGGTTTTGTCACTCGTCAAGGAGGGGGCTAAAATGGACTGGAAAAAAAAAAGGTCGGCTTTTTTTCATTTATAAGTGACTTTCTTTTCTAACTTTTGTACTTTAGTGTAATAATCAAGTTCATATACGAATAATTACCAATAATAGTCAATTTTATTCGTCAGTATAATAGTCCAATTCTGTATAATAGTCAAGTTACAAACATACATACATACATACATACATACATACATACATACATACATACATACATACATACATACATACATACATACATACATACATACATACATACATACATACATACATACATACATACATACATACATACATACATACATACATACATACATACATACATACATACATACAAACATACATACTTTTCGCTAATTCTCTTATGATGTGAATAAATGATCTCCTACTTCAATTTTTTAAAATAAGTTTTGCGTTGGGAAATTTATGGACCTTGCCGCTTTTTTTATAAGTATTTCTATAAAGTCATATTAATACGTAATCTAACTAACATAACCGGTAACATAACGGTAAAACATAGAGCTTTTTATATATAAACAAAAATACAAATAATTTTGGGAACATAACGCTTAATACATATTTTTTACAAACATAACGGTAAAGATAACACTAAGTTTTTCACTTATAAAGCAAAAGCTATTTTAAAGAGGCCTTTTGTCAAACAAAATTTAGTCAATTTAAGTTAATGATAAGCTTTCCTTTGGAATAAAATTGTTTAGCCCAAATTTGCATTGTCAATCTCTTTTCCAGTTTTTAAAAATAAGTTAAAGAGTACTATTTTTTATATGTTTTAAATATTTATTGTTTCAACTATTTTATATTGCTGTTTTGATTTAAACTACTTTTATTAGATTATATTTATATTGGATTTTTATATAGTTCTGGCACAAGGTCCGTTTGATCTTTTTTCGGATTCCAAATTTATATTAAATGAAAAATGAAAGATTAAATTAAATAGTTAAATAAATAAACAAACTGAATAAATAAATATAATACTATTTATTTAAACAAATAACTGAATAAATAAATATAACAGGTAATTATAATTGTTACTATTATTATAACTTTTTATTTGCATTTACTCTCAACAAGGCTGCAAGCAACCACTATAAAGTTGGGAGTTACTAGGAAAAAAAAACAACAGAGTTATAGAGCAAGGAAACGGTTCACAGAAGACTTGAAAATTTGAAGGTTGTATGAGTCAGGAAAACATGAAGATGGGAGAGAGTTCCAATGGATTGAAGTGCGGGGAAAAAAACTAGATGAATAAAAGTTTTTAGAACATGCAGGAACAGATACAGTAAACGAATAAGACTTAGCTGAATGACGAGTAAAACAAGAATGAGTTTTAGTTGATGGAACTAGAGATGATAAATCCT